GGAGGCGCAGAGTCCCGGATGGGGTCAAAGATCGGGGACCCCTGGGGGCGGGGTTTGCCCTCGGCCCACTGGCCCTACCTGGGCTTGGGATTCGGCTTCCTGAGAAGGGCCGTGGGCGGCAGACGGAGGCCCGCGGAGGGAAGAGACTTGCAGCCAGGCTGGCGCTGGAGGCTGCGCCCCCAGACGCTGCTGGTCTTGGTGGAGCCCAGATGCCTGTGTCCAGGTGCTGGGCCCTTTCACTGCTGGGCAGTTCCAAGCCGGCCCCAGCCCGCCTGCAGGTCTCCGCCCTGATCCTGAGTGAGCGGGCCAGTGGACACTAGCCGGTCTCGAACCCGCGGGCCACTCTTCGCCCCCCTTCTGCAGCTGCCCCGGCCAGTGGGCGTGGTGGGCAGGGAGTGGCGAGCAGGTGGCGGTGGCCAGGGTCATCCCGCAGAGGAAGCGGACATCCGCCTTCTCCGGGGGGATCTTCCCCAGCCACCCAGCCCAGCGAGCCAGGCTTGGCTCCAGCATCTCCAGGGATGAGGAACTCGCTACCTGTGGAAGGGGGGCCACTCCAGCTTGAGTCACTGCTCTGTCGGGAAGTGCTCTTACTTCCCATCCAAGTGACCTGTTCCTGTGCTCCTGCCTCACAGCTGCCCGCCCACTGGCTACCTGGGCTTGTCCCTGAGGCCCTTAACATCGGTGGCCACAGATGAACACGCTGTGCCAACAGTAGCCTGGGTGCTTGCATTTTTCCTTTCGGATGCCTTTATTTTTCTATATTTTTGATTTCCAAGAGGAAGGGAGAGGGAGAGATAGAAACGTCAGTGATGAGAATCATTGATCAGCTGCCTCCTGCACACCCCACACTGGGGATTGAGCCCACAACCGGGGCATGTGGCCTTGACCGGAATCGAACCTGGGACCCTTCGGTCCACAGGCCAATGCATGCCAGCGAGTGCTCGGACACTTTTCCCAACGCATCCTAATACCACCTGGCCTTGGGGCAACCCCCATGATGCTGTGGGTTCAAAACAAAGGAAAACCTCAGGTGTTTTTGTTGTCGTGTTTTTATGTTATTAAATACAAGCTGCTAAGCCCACCTCCCTACCTGAACCTGTGTGGTCCAATTTTTGCAGATGTTTACATTTAGGCTGGTTTTCTCACTTTGTTAGTTTTGATCCATCTTCTGAGCTAAGCTACAAATTCTCAGAAATAGGTTGCGAGAATATTCTGCAACCTGAGTTGAATGTAGCTTCCATATTTATGTCCATTCAGACCCCCAGGGCATCTTTCATTTGTGCCTCAAACATCTGCAGGTGCACTTCCTCCCTCCACCACTCACACTGCATTCCTCCCCCTTCCTTACCAAGTGCTTCAGTGTCCACCTTCCATGACCACGGAGCCACAGATCTAGCTCTGGGATAGACACAGAAAGCTCTTCTCTCACTTGGGCCCACCGATGGAGACCACCATCGATGCCAAGCAAGTGCTCCACCCTGGCCCAGAAGCTACCTGGTGCCTGCTCCGCCCACACTCCAGCACCCCTGAGCGGCAGTGCTCCATGTAGCCCCGCCCCTGCGTCCGCCCTTCACCTGACAGGGTCTGCCCCACGTTGGTCAGAGAACAGCTGTGGGGCAACCTTGTGTTAAAGAAAAGCCTCGTCCGCGTCCACCCGCAGGAGGAGTCGGGGTCTTGGAGGTGTTGCAAATTCCTACTGGAGTATTTCAAATGGGACCACTTTCTAATCTGGCATTTCTCACGTTCCTGGCTCCTCGGACCTTATGGCATCCATCTTGCTCTGCTTATCGAGTCTGCTTCTTCAATTTACTTGTCTCTTTTCCTTTTCTTGTCCTTTGGTTTGTTTGACCCGAGGCTCAAAAGTTTGAACCCTGAGAGTCTTGGTACCGGTCCTCTTCACGGACTAGTTGGTCATATCCCTTAGTCAGTTCTTCAGTGTCTCCTCCCCAAGTCTGGCTTATGGCTTCTGAGTAACAAAAGGGACCTGCATCGTAGGTGGAGGATCCACATTGTTGTTGGCGCAGAAAGGCCTCTGGCTTGTGACCCTTCCAAACGGTTATGTGATGAGCCAGTGTTTCTATTATTCTCCCAAAGGTCCATCGGAGCTCGGCCCTTGCATCAGCGCCTCTCCTTGGACCTTATGGCATCCATCTTGCTCTGCTTATCGAGTCTGCTTCTTCAATTTACTTGTCTCTTTTCCTTTTCTTGTCCTTTGGTTTGTTTGACCCGAGGCTCAAAAGTGTGAACCCTGAGAGTCTTGGTACCGGTCCTCTTCACGGACTAGTTGGTCATATCCCTTAGTTCTTCAGTGTCTCCCCCCCAAGTCTGTGGCTTATGGCTTCTGAGTAACAAAAGGGACCTGCATCGTAGGTGGAGGATCCACATTGTTGTTGGCGCAGAAAGGCCT